ATGCGAGCGTGCTACCTCTTGAGCCACATCCCCAGCCGCCTAGGCCTTTTCTTAATTATTATTTTTAGTTTTGAGACAAGATCTTACTAAGTTGCTTAGAGCCTCAATAAATTGCTGAGTCTGGTTTTGAACTTGCAATCCTCCTGCCTCAGCCTCTTGAGCTACTGGGATTACAGGTATGTGCCACCAGGCCCAGCCAAAAACATAAACCTTCATTATATGCAATTATACATCATTTGTATGAATGAAATTTCCAATAAGAACAGATTAAGCTTTAAACTGGACTAGCCAATGAAGAATACACAACTAAAGGTACACAGTCATTAGCTCAATGTGTGGGTGAGAGATCAGGGCTGAACCAATTACAGCCTTCTTGTAACATGCAGATTGGAGATTGAGGAAATTGAGAGTGATGTTCTTTGTTATTTGTTGTTTCCTTACTTGTTTATTTTCATGGTGTTTTAAAAATGTGAGTCCAGGGCTGGGGTTGTGGCTCAGTGGCAGAGCGCTTGCCTTGCACATATGATACATTGGGTTCTATCCTCAGCACAACATGAAAATAAATAAACAAAATAAAGATACTGTGCCCATGTATAACTAAAAAAAAATTTAAAACTATGAGCCCAATTAAGATAAACTTTTAACACTGTTAACAATATTTAAAAAATAAACTTTAGAAATTTAAAGTATGCATCTAGACCTGGAAGTAGGATATTTCCATTGCCCTTTGCATCAAATAAAAGGACTATGGTCTATCATTTATAGAACTAAGTCATTTCCTCAAGTGATTTGAATGTTCATATTAATTTTAATGATAAATTATTTTAATTTCCACTGTTTTTTTGACCATTGACTTTTAAAAAATATTATTTTAATATAACATAAAATATAAACATGTACATATTAATGAGGCAATAATGACTTTTTGTTTCACTTGTCCATGTGTATTGTTGAATTTCAACAACGTTGGTGATTTTCTAATTGCTTTTGTTTCTAAAATTTATTTCTAGCCTATTACAGATATGGAGAAAGAGCATATTGTGGGATTTCAATCCAAAGAAATTTATTATTGTTTTCATTAATGCCCAATATTTTATCATTTTTATTAAATGTTCCATTTGAATTTCTTAATAAAATGATGAATAACTCTTTTAATGTATGCAGACACCTTTAAAGAATGTCAGGCCTAGCCAAACAATAAGTCAAAAGCAGGGCACACTATAAAAATCAAAACTTTTCTTGTGGGCTGGGGGTATAGCTTAGTGGTAGAGTGCCTGCCTAGAGTGCATGGGCCTGGGGTTTGTTCTCCAGCACCGCTAATTACAACAAAAAACCTTCTCTTGAGCCCCAGAGTAGAGGAATAAGGCTCTTTGGGGAGAAACACCCACATGGATTATTTCCTTTTTTTATTATTATTATTTTTTTCTTTATTTATTGTTGGTCATTCAGGGTTATACAAAATTACATACAAGAGGAAGTGAGGGGTAAGGGAAGAATAATACAAGTGGAAGAAAGGATTATTTCCTTTTGACAGGACTGTCTGTACTTGCTTGGGGGCAAAGTGGGGGCAGGGCAGGATACGAGAGTAGTGCAGGTAAGAACAGAACAATTTCACATCCAGAGCTCCCCTAAGCATCAACAGGGACAGAATGTAGGATAAGTTCTCTCATAAGGATCAGTATGTGTTGTTATTCAGGAAAATTAGAAAAAAAATTTATGACAATTAGAACGATCTTATGAATGAGCTTACTGTACAGGAAACCAAGAAAATAAAAACTACTCTAAAATCAAACTCACGTAAATACTGATTGCTGATTCAAAATAGTTGTATACATCCAGAACACAATTTTGTATGCCAAAGGAGCTATGTGTCTTTTCCTGTCGACCACTGAGAAAAAAACCCACATCATTAAGCCACTGAATACATCATGGTAGTTGGAGCTACTTGAAAATATGTGTGTGTATGTGTAGTGGGGGAGTACTGGGGATTTGACCCAAGGGTGCTCTACTGCTGTGCTACATCCCTAGTCCTTTTTATCTTATTTTGAGGCAGGGTCTCACTATTTTGCCCAGGCTGTCCTCAAACTTGTGACCTTCCTACCTTTGTCTCCCAAGTAGCAGAGATTACAGGTATGAACCACTACACCCAGCTAAAATGCCAAAATTTAAAACATGAAATATCATTGTTTCATAATACTGACTTCATACGTATTTCTTTATGACAAGTAATTTTAAGGATCTGCATCCATTAGATTAGTTTTATCATGCTATGGTGTTTTGCCTGTGTAAATTCAGAAATTGAATAGGAACGTTAGTATGACAACCCAAATAGGGTCTGTGAATTAAAGTCAGGGAGTGAAATGGGACTGATGTAGACAAATTATTAGGATGAGAGTGGAATAATGAGGTTGAGTACTAGTGGTGAATGTGAATACATGTGATTATTCACTTCAGTGGTCCATTGAGTAAAAGAAGGCACCTAGTGAGCAATCATAATCAAATAGTATGGTTTACTAAAACAATAAACTAAGGGAAAGAGTTAACACTTTAACAACAAATTATATGCTTTCAAAACAGGTTATAGGTTATGTTGAATACATTTTGAAAAGATATTTTAGATATATTTGATAAATATTAAAATTAAGAAAAATGAAAAATTATAATGATATACCTTGAAAAAATAGTGCTCATAGGACAAACATACTCTCATAAAACTTCTTCCAACACTACCTATATTATGGAATTCATTTATAAAACAAGTGAAAACTCAAACATGATACATGA